AACATTAAAAAAATTATACAAAAAGTAACTAACAATGAATCTCACATGTTCAATATTTAGATAATATTTATATATTTATTTAAGCATTATTCCTAATCAGTTCAAATAATTACAATTAAATAGTTAAGTACTAATTATACACAGGTCTTACAACAGTAAATAATGTACTTATAAGACTCTAATAAATGAAAAACTTTATTAAAAAATAAACCAATAAATCTATTACAATCTCATTCTCCAAATGCAGGAACATGCAGTCAGTGGAGAGGTGAAAACATTCTGCTCTTTCCTTTCTATCCCTGTCCTCCGTCTAATGGATCTGTCTTTTCTGATTTCCTCTGTCAGAGGTCAGACAGCTTCAATCTCTGTTCCCCACTCCATTTCTTTCACACTCTGACCATTTTAGATGAGAATATTTGTCCTGAGGGCTGAATAGCATCCTTTTGGTTTTTACCATACCTCTTAAAACAGAAGCCATTTTTATGTCAGTGGTGACAATAAGCCTCAAATGTGACCTGTAATATAATGTGGAGTGAGTGTCCACATTGGCTTCAAGATCATGGGTCATTTAAAAATAATAAATATATTCTAAGTGGCGTTACATAAAAGTAACGCCACTTCTCCAGCATAAGCCGTTTTACAAAATGTATTTCTGTGCTCTTGATGTTACATGTTCATACTCTGATATTTGCTAACAGAACCGGTTTTTGTGTTGTTAATGTGTAATCACATTAACAATAAAGTGAGTCAATGAGTTAAGCGAAAAGCTGTGTGCTTTGCTCTGATCTGCATAACGCTGACTTTTCTCCATTCTGAATCTGACATAAAGCTCATTTATATGCATTGCTGCTTCATGGTGGGTGTGTCTATGGGCGGAGATCAATGTTCTGTTTCTGACGTGACCAGGAAAGTCATCCAGACATGGAAGAGAAGGTGCTGCTGCTTTTCATAAAGAATTAGAATTCTGAAAAAAAAAACAGAAAAACAAGCAGAGAAACAGAATTCGGGAATAAAATTGGAGGTTTATCTTAACTGTTATTGCTTTTATTTTGTTAAAATATCTTATTTTTTTCATTTAGCACTGCCCTTCAGCTACATAAGATATTTACATGTTTCCAAGAAGACAAAATAATAACATTTAACACTGATATCCTGTTCAAAAGTTAATGTATTGTGTTGCCTTCTTGAGCATCAGTGAATGTTTACACCTTTTGTAATAGTTGTGTATGAGTCCCTTAATTGTCCTCAGTGTGAAAAGATGGATCCCAGCATCATATAACCGCTGTTGGAAAGGGGTCAAATATGCAGAAAATGCTGGAAAACCAAAGAATGTGCAGGACCTGGAGGATTTTTTCTGAAGAACAGTGGGCAGTTTAACTGCTCAGGACAAACAAGGGACTCATGAACAACTATCACAAAACATAAAAACAGTCACTGATCATCCAGGTAACACACACAAAGTATTAAGAATCAAGTGTATGTAAACTTTTGAACTGGTTTGTTTGTGTAAATTCAGTTATAATTTTGTGTTGTGGACTATATCTAAATATCTGCTATGTGAAATAGCTTATTCAGGGCAGTACTAAATAAAAACAAAACACAATTTTTATGATCTCTCTTATTTTTAAAAAAATTATTAACATTTTGCAGATTCTGCAAGGCGTATGTAGACCCCAACTGTACATCCCACACACACATTACGATTTCATGACCTCGATTTAGTATCTCATTGCTTCATTAAGTTGTGTGAACATGTAACTGTTGGACCACAATATAAAAAAAAAATAAAAAATAAAGAAAATTAATAGGATGTGTTGGATCAAGCACTATTTTTTAAGTTGCTAATGAGTGTGGATGTCATATATTTGCACATATTTGCACACAGCCGTATTGTTAAACCAAATTTTCAGTGATTAATGTGATGATTACAGCAAGGACTATTCATGCAGCAATATACAGGCAATATACTAGTGTCACGAATCCCCTCAAAGCACAGTGCCTTTGTCTGCAACATCCACATAGCCTGTGCTCTTATTGGGACACGCTTCATTTTCACTTCCTGGTCCTGTCTCTGCCCCTTGTGTTGTCTTATTCATGTCATCCCACCTGTTACCTGTTGAGTTCAAGATAAGTCTGTCTATTTATACTCTCATGTTTCTGTGTGTGATTCTGAAGTTTCATCTCATGTTAACGTGCGTCTCTGGAGCCTTTTTCTCTGTGTTTCCTTTTTCTGTTTCCTAGCTACCTGGTTCCTGGTTTTGACTCTGTTTTTGTTTATGATTATGGATTGTCCTTTTGTGATGTTGCCTGCTGCTTTCTGACCCATGCTATGGAGTATCACACTGATTTCTGCTTTAGCCATAATAAACACTGTGTTGATTTCACACACTTGCATCCTGCCACTTTACAATGCACGTTACAGCTAGACTCATATTAAATGTTGATTTCAGTGCTCACCATTTTCTCATTCATATATCAATGTATTAGTCATTTTTATTTTCCTTTTTAAATAGTCTCTGGTTATTTTGTTACTTTGTATTACATCATAATGACAGCAAAGAAAAAAACACTATTTTCTTCTGTCCACATTTTCTATGCCTGATTTTCTTTTGGGCTTAAAGGCAAATGCATGTGTTTAAAGGTAGTGTTCTACAAGCTACTGAAAAAGCTTGTCTTGTCTTGTCATTTCTTCTCAAGAACAATTCTGGCCTCAGAGGCATGAACTACATGCAGGTGATTTCAATAACCTGAATGAGGAGCCCAGAATATCATTTTAAGCAACTGTGTAACTGGAGTAACTTTCCACATGGAAATATTTGCAAACTTTTGGACTTAAGTAACCAACTCTGACTACGGCCCATAGTGCTT